TGAATTTTATTTCTTTTTGGAAAGAATCAGACCAAAAAAAACAACTTTCCTCCTAAATTCAAAGTCATGGAATAATTAACTGTTAACTTTTCATTTGATTAGAAAGACATTAAGGGCAAATGTTCAAAGTAGAGTGTAGTAAGTCAGCTGAACCTCCATTCGTGCTAATGGGATGCAGTTGGCTAAGTTCCCTGGACAATGCTTTGAACGTACCCCTAGAACTTTTTTAAAACGTTGTGAAGCACATTAAAATATGGAATGTTTTTAGATTTTCTACTTCTTTTAAACACAATAAAGAAGAAAAAATTGTAAAGGCAGTCTTTTTTTTTTTTTTTTGGCACACAGGAAAGAAGGACATGGGTATTATTTAATAATGGTGTTCCTGGTTGTAAAGCTCTTTAATATTATACAGTTAGAGGGCCACAGAAAAACCCTAAAATTTGTTTGGTGCTGAACTCCACCATTGTAGGTATCTCTGAAATAGTCCAAAAAAGAAAAGTAGTGATCCTATTTAGGGGAAAAAAATGTATTCTTTCATTCCAAAATCTAACAGCAAATATAATATTTCTTTTAATGAGTCAGCAAGATTTTTGTGTAGCTTCTCTGTTAACAAATATATATATACAATATATATATTTCAGACAATATAACATGTTAAGTTCAAGCACATAGTTTTAAAATGACCACTTGTATAAGAATAGAATTGGTGGAGGGATGGAGGGGCCATAGACTGAGCCTACACTGACAGCAGTAGATTTATTCAACCACAAGCTCTAACAGCTTAGTTTGATCAAATACTGCCTTTGAGGAATGCTTAAGAAAAAGAGACTTGTGTAATAACTGCTTAAGATATTTGAAGATTTTCACATGTAAGAAGGATGCTACCTATTCTGTGTCATTTTAAAGAACAGAAATAGAAGTGATAGAGGAAGATAAAAGCTCACTTTTTTACAGAGTTCTCCAAAGGGAATGAAAAATTTTTAAAGAGGTAAGCTTCTTATCACAAGAACTAAATATAATTGAAAATGTACAAGGGGTTTTTGCATTTGGAAGGAAGTTGGACTTCAATAGTGTCACCTAATCCCGGGTGATTCTCAGAATTCCTGTAATATTGTCATTGCCATTATTTTAATTCAGATCCCATAAGCTGCACCCCATGTTTAATGAGTCAGAATCTCCAAGAAGATGTATCTGTGATGAAGAATAAGTACTTGATAGGAAAATAAAACTACCTAGGGAGATAAAGTCAACAGTGTCTGGGGATGAAATTTTCATGATAATTGTCAAGATTATACAGAGTAGTGATTATAGAGCTCAAATTATGAAACAAAATTTAGATATATTAGCATAAATTGCCCATAAAATTTTGGTTACACCTGCAAGATGGATCAGTTCAAATTTCATATTCTTCGAGATTTTTCAGTCATTTAATAAAGTTGTATTAAGGGCTTATCATGTATTGTGTTAGGCCGAAGGATACAAGAAAAAGTTATGAGCAAACATCAGGGATTTTGCTTTCAGAGAAAAAAGCCTATGAACACCCACAAAGTTAAGATTATGAATAAGCAAATAAACAATTTCAGCTTGTAAGACTTTTTTATATCACTGTTGTATTTCTTAAGATTTCCTGGGTTCAGATTTGACCTCTACCATTGGAGTCACACATCCTGGGAAGGTTCTTAAACTCTCTGTTCCATAGTTCTACCTTTTACAAAATGGGGATACTAAAAACAAAGAAGCATCTTTTAGTGTATAGAAATGACTAGAAGTCCCCGCAGTATATCTAATACCATGCACGTGGTAATTAATTGACAACCATTAGCTATCATGAGCATGATTTTGATTGTTGTCATCAGATGTTTAATCATCCCGAGGGAATGCTTCAGAGGAAGCAAAACCTCAATTCACTGGGGATATTGTCTTTTTTATGATTTATATCTAACTTTCGACATCAAAACCAACTAAAACCCTAAAGTCAGATGAAGACATGCCAGAAATTCTTAAATGAAAGAAAGATATGGGTTGGAGGAGATAGAGATCAGGAAATAGGACATACCAGTAAAAATGTGCAACGTTATCACTACCCATGGGACTATATGGGTATCTTCTCAAATCCAACTAAAATATTGCTGTAGTAACTTGCTTTGCCAGTCTGTTCAGAAAACATTTCTTTCTATATGCTAGAAATTCTTTCACCAAAAGTAACACATTTAACTTGTTTGCTCATGTCCAGATAAGAAGTTTTGATCAAAATAAAAATATTTGTCCATGCCAGGGAAACTGGAGAATTTATTTTCAACTTATCGGTAGATTAATGTGAATTATTTTAGGGAGAAAAAAACTTTCTTAATTTACATTCATAGATTACTCTCCTTGCCTTTACCATCCTCATTTTCTTTTTTTTTTTTTACCTCATTATTAAATATATTTCTATGCATTTGGAATATGAATAGATGATTTTAATAACAAATTTCAGCAATACTTTGTATAAATTGAGGAATCCTTTAACAAACTTAAAATGTAAATAATCTTTCTCTACCGCTATTTTGCCTTTCATTTATTCTTTCAAAAATAAGCAAGCAAGTTCACTTTTCATTTCCTGAAAGCCCTTTTGTCAGACATGTGACTGTGGGTTTTGCAGTGTAGCACAACGTTTGATTGAATGTCAGAGGAAAATCACCCAGATCAAGTTAGAAGAGTGGGTTGACAGAGTAATGACATTAACAGTCCCTCTTGTTGGTTTGAGATACATAACTCAGCAATCAATGGCATCAATCATTATATTTTGGGTAAAGTGGGATACATTTAGTAGAATAAGTGAAAATTGAAACAACATAGCCAATGATGACTTAAAGATTAATAGAATGTGCAAATCATTATATATATCTATAGATATGTCTCACAGGTTTAATATATTTAAAGCAGCTTATAAATATATTTATATAAATAACTATTTCCGAAATAACACTGAAGTGAGCATCATGCCAATCTTTGAAGCCCCAAATAACAGATGAAATTAGTTGTTCAAATTTTCTCTTATATTTGAAACTGGTTAAGCAGTCTTTTCTTGAGTGACAGAGTAACATCTAACAGTGCAATGTAGAAGATTCATTAACATTTTATGCTATTAATTGAAAATAAGTTGCTTAAAAAAGAGGATTTAAGCGTGGGTATTGTGAGACTGTCACACCAGAAATCATAACGCAGTAGACTGGAATCTTTATGTAAAAATAAATATAAGCAAACATTACTTATGTGTTAAAAACAATTGATGATATGATTCTAATTATGATGATTTTTAAAAAGGAAGCCAGATGTGATAAACATAGGTATTACTGCTCTGTGGTAGTTCAAATTTTTGTAATGATATTGCAATAGTGTAATAATGTTGGAATTTTTAAATTTTGTTTTCTAAGGCTCAAACTCTCTCTCATTTCCCCCAGCTCCTGCTGTTTGCATGATTTTTCTCTTCGTTTCTCAGTAATGCATGTGATCACTGTTTTTTTTTTTTTTTTCTTGTCCTTGTTTAAAGAGCTGGTCTAAGATACCGCCTATTTAAAACTCATATACAAATTCTACCTAGTGTCTCCTTTACATGCTAGTAAATTTAGAGAAATTTGTGTTTGTTGTTTCTTAATACTAAGAAATGTGAATTTTCTGGGCACAAGTGACAATCTAGTTTTGTCTTATATAAGATGTTCTACAGTACTTCAATTGTACTCATATGATATATTTGCTAATACTAGCATATTTTTCTCAGTTGTGCTTTCATTATTTGGTAATGGTCATGTTTTAGAATTTTAAATTATTTTACATGTCATAATTCTGTTGCAACCTCACTATATCATATATAAGGCCTAGAAAAAATGTTTAAAACATGTATATATTGCTCATATTCACAGAGCTATGTATTTAAGTCTCTAGGAAAGAAAAGGCAATGAAAGGCTAAACATTTCCAATAATGAGTTTGATTAAAAATATCTACCAAGTAAATATCAGGAATGGTTTCCAACAAAAGCTGCCACACTGAGTTCAACTATAGAACTTTAAAAAATGCAATTGTGTCATTGAGTTTAGAAAGATGGAAACTATATTTAAACTTAAAACCATATTTTATTTTTTATTTTTAATTTTTAAAATTTTTTATTGTTATGTTAATCACCATACATTATATCATTAGTTTTTGATGTAGTGTTCCATGATTCATTGTTTGTGCATAACACCCAGTGCTCCACGCAGAATGTGCCCTCTTTAATACCCATCACCAGGCTAACCCATCCCCCCACCCTCCTCCCCTCTAGAACCCTCAGTTTGTTTTTCAGAGTCCATCGTCTCTCATGGTTCATCTCCCCCTCCGACTTACTCCCCTTCATTCTTCCCCTCCTGCTATCTTGTTCTTTTTCTTTTTTCTTAACATATGTTGCATTATTTGTTTCAGAAGTACAGATCTGTGATTCAACAGTCTTGAACAATTCACAGTGCTCACCATAGCACATACCCTCCCCAATGTCTATCACCCAGCCACCCCATCCCTCCCACCCCCCACCACTCCAGCAACACTCAGTTTGTTTCCTGAGATTAAGAATTCCTCATATCAGTGAGGTCATATGATACATGTCTTTCTCTGATTGACTTATAAAACCATATTTTAAACTGCATTTCTAAACACATGAATTTGTCATGAATCATGACTAAATCTAGATTTCATTTTAAAAATCACAACTGTAAAAAGAATACTCAAGAGATTGACATGTTTTGAGAGTATTTTATGTGGTCAAGTATGTGGGTTTTGGTGATCTATTACAGTATAACAGATTGGAAGAATCTTTCAAATAATTATCTTTTAGTAATCACTTTCTGTACTCAGAATGTCATCACAGACCACCCAATGGGAGCAAACAATGAATAGTTGACAAAATTGAGTCAACACTGTTTAAAAAATGTAAGGGAACAAAAGTGAGAATGCGTAAATGTAATATTTGTTGTTTTATATATTCCAGATTCAGAACAATTTGTGGGCAGGAAATGCGAGTGGTGGTTCTGTGGTTACTTCATGCATGTTACCACGTGACACTTCCTCCTGCATGACACCTTATTCTCACTCGCCTCGGACAGATTCCAGTTACACAGGGTTTTCAAACCACCAGAACCAGTTCAGCCACGTGCCCCTCAACAATTTTTTCACTGACTCTCTTCTTACTGGGGCTACCAATGGACATGCATTTGAAACAAAGCCAGAATTTGAAAGGAGGTCTTCCAGTATCGCAGTTCTTCGAATGAAAGCCAAGGAGCACACTGCCAATATTTCATGGGCCATGTAACATACAGTACTCTTTTATTTTTCTTTTAATGGCAAAGTAAAACATTCTATTTCTCATATTTAAAGGATACCACAATAAGCTGCTGTGTGTGGAATTGCTAAAGGTCAAGGTATACAGTGAGACCAGCTTAAATGAATAGTTGTTATTATTTAACATTAAAATCTAAGAATGAACCTCTGAAAAGACTAAATAGATTTACCATCCATCAGTCTCCACAAACTCTGTTTTAGTAGTAAATTTTTTTTCTATTGTACGAGTCGATGAAATATGATCATGCAACTTCTTAAAAGAATAAATGTATTAAACAAATTCCTCTGTTATAGATTGATTTATGTCAATTTTGTATAACAAGAAATCCCTTGTAAAATAATATCTGATAAAGGAGGAAATGCACTGGGGAAAATGTCAAGATACCAAAGCTGTCAGGTAAATATTGAAGCAGGGTGTTTCGGGGAGTTGACTGTTATTTCTCCCTCTCTGGCTCCAAGACACAACGGGCATATCTCCTGTGGCTGAGAATTTATCTTCAGGCCTCAAAGATTTTTTTTACCCCTGGCTGTTTTCATGAATTTCCACCCCATGAAATAGAACTCTTCTAAAATGGCCAGCATTTGCATGAAATATTTGGGCATAGTTTCCCGAAACCATGTGGATAAAGGTGATAACTGAAATATTCTGGTGTGATTTAAAATATAGTCATGAGAATAGTTTCTATAAATGCTACCTTTTAAATGAAAAAGTCAGCACCAACTCAGTGAAGAAGCCAACACCGACTCACCACACCGACTTAGTATCACACACTAGAAAAAGAGTAAGTTACAAAACCTGCTGCTTTTAAGCTAAAATTGTGTCAATTCAACTGTACACACAAACATCTAATAAATACACTAAAAGGAAACTTTTTTGACATGTCACATTATGCTTTATTATATTATGAAACATTTTCAGTTAAAAGAGCAGCAAATCTGACTTTATATTTATTTCGTGGGCTTATGCAAGTGCACATGTGTGCGTGTTTGTTTTTTGATATATAAGCCGTAAGCATTTTTTTGCTACTGTGGTTTTGCATAGGGAATTAAAATGTCAGAAGGCTCTCTAAAATTTCTGGTGGAAAAGAAAAGAAAAATACATTGCATCTGGAAAATTGCTAACCCCTTTGATTTACTTCTCCTCCCTTTCCTCTGTCACATTCCAAGCTTTTTCAGATGAGTGAAATGTCAACCTCCTTAAAAGACTCTTAATTCATAAAGGCGAAGTAAATTAATTGAAATGAAGATGGCTCCCATGGTTTGGATCAGAGCAAGGTCTGCTCTTTGTACTCCCTTAGAATCTTCCTTGTGGTTCCTACAGCTTTTAGGAATATGCTTAGAAGCCCTATAGACTAAAGGACAGGAATAAATGAATTTCAAAAATTAAATTTCAGAAAAAATACTTAAATCAGTGTCTCTTCCTCATAGGAAAAATATTTACAGCAGTTAGACATCTCTTGTAATAAAACCTTAAAATCAAGCAGATGATGGAGATGAGTGATGTCCTAAACAATCATCCCTTGACTTCATAATAACTCTGTTCTTTATTACTTTTGAGTTCTCTCCTTTTAGTTTTCTTCCCAGGACAAACTTGTTCAACTTTGGCCCTGAGAATTATGCATACATGCAGGAGCTCTTGTTAAAGGATTGTTTAGGCAGCTGTTAAACATCCTTCATGTTTTAAAAGAGAATGACTTCTTTTAATATATTTCTGTGTCTGGTCCATAAGAAGTTGCAAACTAAAACTTAGAAAGAAAATATAAGACTTTCCTTTTAAAAGTTCTCAAGTTAGTAGTGTTCATGTTCATTTTCTCCTGCTTTTTTAATTGAAATTTTAATGTCCCTTGGCTAATACATTATATTTTTAAAATGAGGGACAAAACTCATTTTTGAATCAAGTGTGCATTTCACATCATCCCTTAGTTTTCCTACTATAACTTTTTTTTTCTCATATTCTTTTTTTCCTTTTTTTCTCATTATTTTCTAATAATTAGTTGGAGACTGTAACTCATTTTTTTTTTAATTTTAACATCTTTTTAATTGAGGTTCTACATCTGCAATGTTTTTTATAAATTAATTCAATCGGCACTTTTTTTTCTTAACACCTACAATGTGTGAAGCACTTTTGGGGATAATAAAAGAAATAATAGAACCATGGTTTTGTCCTCGATGCGTTCACAGTCTTCATGGACAGACGCATCCATAAAGTTTACATCCTCAGCCATGCTTCGCATTTTATGATGGCCATAAGAATTGAATGCAGTTTTTTTGTGTGTGTGAACATTCTGACCTTTCTTTTTCATTGGATGGATGTTATTACATATTTAAATTATTAAGATATAATAAAATGAACTTTTGGTGCAATAGGAAAGATAAAGCTAATACAAAGAGTGCATAGAATGCACTTACTGAATTTTCTCTTGCAATTTCTGAACTTATGTTAAACTCAGTTTCATATACCAGAATTCAGATCCCTCACAAAAATGTTGAACTTAGCTGCGCCTGGGTGTGTCAGTCGGTTAAGCGTCCCACTCTTGATTTCAGCTCAGGTCATGGTCTCAGGGTTGTGGGATGGAGCCCCGAGTTGGGCTCTGCTCTCAGCATGGAGTCTGATTATCCCTCTCCGTCTGCTCCTCCCCCTGCTCTTGCTTTCTCTCTCAGATAAATAAATAAATAAATAAAATCTTTAAAATAAAAATTAAAATGTTGAACTTGTACACTTAAGAGATGAAAAACTAAGGAGTGTTTTAAATTCCTTTTATTTGGGCTCAAGTTATTAACAGTATTGATTCCTAGAAGTTTTGGGCCCTGAAGTGGTTGAGCCACTTGGACAATTGTTTCCAGGCCATTCTCATCCCCTATTTGTTGCTTCCACATGTTTTTCTTGCACAGATGGTTTAAGGGATGATTCTTGTACTCTTTTCTCCTGAGCAATTTGGTTAAGATTTGGTCCTCATGATAGGAAATAAATTTATTGGAGAATTAGGTAAGGTTTGCAGTTTCATTCATAAACATAAAATGAAATTTCAGAAAATGATTTGTGAATTTTTGAAAAGATATAATGTCCTTCAGAATATTAAATAGTGATTATTTTCTTCTTAAATAACTTCTCATGAAATCAGAAAAAGAAAGCCGCTCTAATCTTTGCCCTCAGTCTTGACAACGTATCTCCAAAGAATAACAGAGTTACTTAACCTATATAACCTTGAGGAAATTCATGAAATTGAGTATATAAATTACTGGAGTGTATTAGCTTCATTGTTTCAATAGGCTGTTGATTTTTTTTTTTTTTTAACCTCCAAGGAAGGGACATACTGATGCACTTAACAGAGTTCTTACAAAGATGATACGTTACTGTTTCCTTTCAGTATCTTTGCTTTTTTGTCTCAAATACTAGCTGCTTTTTTGACCTCCATCTGCAATCCTTTTATCACTTCCCTGTATTTTATATAAGGCTGTTTTCTATATAATGCTGTAGTTTTAGTCTATCAGCAGCTAAATAATGTCTTGGCTAAAAAAGAAGTGGAAAGATCGACTACAGTGTTTGCCTAAGCTCTTTGAAACATTTAAATGATTTTCTAAACTTACCAGTAACCCTGGCCTTTGTTTTTCAATATTTAATTCAAAGAGAATTATAAATGATGAGTAATTGTTAGATATAATTTTTAATTATTAATTTAGTCATTTTTTTATTTGCTGTCAAATATTTTAGGAGAAATCTAGAAATGATCTTATTTTTAAAATCCTAGTTGGGCTCACTTCTTTTTTCTCTTATTGAAATGTAAAGATGTATGCTTATTATTTAAAACATAAATGCTAACTTTCAGCCATCTCTACTTTAAAAAATTAGGCATCTAAAGTTTCAGCAGACATTATTTCCTTATAGCTATTCATATTTTGCATTGAAGAAAATATGGCTTTTTTTAAGGGACTCTATTTAATGAAACACTATATTAAATAGTACTTTTGTTCTTAGTGTCTAAGTCCCATTATATATATATATATTTTATACAAGCCAGGCAGCAATGTCACTAATGATCCAAATGAAAACAAAATCAGAAGTGAAATGCCTAGCAGTAGAGTCCTCATTTATGGCAGGAATCCTCAAAAACAGATTAAATGTGATATTGGTTTTCCAGGGTATAGAAAATGCTCAAACAGGATTTTTTTGTTTGTTTTAATAACTCTCCTTTGTAAATGAACATATTGCCATTGTTTATCCTAGAAATATATTGCAAAAATTGTGAATCACTATTCACAGTAAATCACTATTTAATCACAAGTCTTCAAGATGAGGGCTAGCCAATTCTTCAGTTTTACTGCATAAAATAGGAGAGAATTGAAAGAAGCCTTTTCTTTCCTTCTTAGCCTTAGAATTGTATACCACTATGCATTCTTTAAGTTCCAGGAGCAAATAAATGACTTCACATGAGTATTTCATGTGCATGACATTATTTTATAGCATGTCTGACTTTAGAGGCAGTACTTACTGAAGTTTTTCATGCATCTTCACATAATGTACCCTTGTAATATTTTCTCTTACTTATTTACCTTAACATATACTCTAAAGACTTAAGAGAATAATTCGGAATAATCACCAGCATTGTCAAAGCATGGTAAGTTTTTTCTTTTTTTCTTTTTTAAACATGACAAGTTTTAAGTGGAAGGCAAAAGGAGCCCACTACAGGCTATTTATGCTGTCCAATTGGCGGACATAAAAACAATCAAATGCTTAAAATCTCCCCAAATCACTACAGCAGATTCATAACTTAGGTGGGAGGGCAGGTAGAGGAGGATGTATCTCTGTTTAGAAGGCAGAGAGGGTCCACATACACTGAGATGGGAAAGTAGTTAGACCCTTAGTTTCACTAACCCCTAAAAGAAACTTGGCATTTTCTTTTATTTATGACTATGGACAGCAAATCTCAGTAGCATTAGCAGCACTGTGATTTTGTCACCAATAAAAAGAACAGATATTTGCATATTACGTTAGAGTTAATATAGATATATTGAAATAATTATAATTCGAGTTTATCACTTGATGAGGATGGTTTTCTTTAAGGTAACTTTTAGCTCTGTTGCCGGGCCTTGTTATTTAATCTATCAGTAAAGATGCACAAATATTACAAATTAATTCTGTAAATATTTGGACACCTGTGTTTCGATTTAATTGGTTTCCTTCTTAAGCCTATACATTTTATTTACTAAAATACCTTATCTAAGAAGGGGTTCACAAGACCACTAAACTGCCCGAGGGGTCCAAGGAGCAAAAGGGACTAA